CCCCCCCAACTCGCGCACATCAATGTATCTTCTACAGTTCTGTAAAAAAGTTATTGGGCACAGCTCGAAGGCCCTTCCCCCTCATTCACATGTTTTTTTTCGCTGATCTGGTTCTGTGGCAAGAATGACAGACAACAGATAGACAAAGTGAACTGTTGAATGGTAACCACGCAATTTTACATAAACAGTGATGAAGCCGCTAGTGAGATGTCAAAATCACACTGAATGCCTGTATGAAACTACGCAGATACAGTGAACTCAGAACTAGGCGAAAAGAATCGAGCAACAGCTGATCGAAGCAGTAAATCAAGTTTTTGCGGAACTGAAGTCAAGTACCTATGTTTGTCCAAACTATATTTCTTACTCTTTCTTTTTTTTTTGCATTTATGCAATGGTGGAAAAGTTGTATAAACAAAAACTGCTTAAACTGTACAAAAAAAAGCTGTATAAAAAAGTGTATTAAAAAACGTGCTGTAAAGGCGCAGCCTATGTCTTCCCAATTAAACGTAAAAATAAAATATCAGGAGAAGAAGGAAACAATGAAAAGGAGCGAAAAGGATATTAAAATAGGTAAGTTGTCTAAAGAAATATTTGTTATAGGTAACAAATGTTTCGGTCCATTAAGTCGTATACATTTCTTACCGTTACCACAATTGGATCTCGTCAGTACGACGATTGTGGTAACAAAATAATTTATACTTTCCCCCTCTTCACCCCGCCATCGGGATTATAAATCGGCACGTTCATACGCGGTACCAGAATCAACACTCACTTTAACTATACGAATCAATCTCTCGGCCAGTGATTTTTTTTTTCTTTTCCCAAATTACTTAGATTTATGCGTATTCTCCGTATGATGATGAGAACAAAGTTAAAAGCCGAAATATTACCAGTATTCTTATTGCTTTAGAATTGCTTGTGACAATTATCTTGCATAAGAAAACGGCATTTTATAAAGCAACAAACCTCGCCAAAATATGGTGCTTGGTGCACCACACCGGTACCTTGATCTGTGGTTACAAATGTAGCAACAAGCACTCGAAATGCGCCAAGTGTACTTTTTCGATCCGCAAAATATGGAAATAGTGGCTGATAAGTTTTGCCCTCCAGCAGCTGTCCTTTGAAACGATCCAACACTTCATAACCTTCATTGTTTTTATAAAGTTCACATAATCTCTGAAAAAAAGAGCAAAAAATTCACTGTTATCGAATCTGCGCAAAAAAGCTATTTTTGTCTCAGAAAATTTTATCCTCTTAGATTAAAGCCCAATTTTCAACTCAATAACGTCAAATCATCTTTTATACTTTCTTCCAGAAAACCCAAAGCTTCGACCCCAAACAGAGTGAGTGTCTCTCTTAGTTCAAAATGAAAACCAAGAATTTATCTTTCCGTAAATTACCCCAAATTTTGCAATTTGTAACTTTAAAAGTCACAGATCCAAAGAAATCATGAATGTATTTACAATGAAATTAAACTGTTCGCAAGATGTTGAAGTAAAGAAAAAAGAACGCTGACATAACAGTTGATATAATCAATGGCTACTCGCACCGGACGGACCCGTGTGATTATGCGTTTTTGCAGTATTTCGTGCTGAAATAAGATCGCTTGGAGTCCCAGTTGCTAGAATTTATGGCATATTGGCCCTTGAAGTCCTGGTCTCTTTCACTCAGTAATCAACTTGATAAATTCATTGCAATATTTCCTGTTAAAACCAGCGATGCACCGTTCTCTTAGCTTTCCTTCCCACAACACAGAAGTAGAGGACATCCAGCTTTTTAATATAATTTAACATATATATATATATATATATTCTTTGCATTATATATATATATATATTTCTTTATATTTCATACATATACGCTTCTCTTTGACATATATA